TATTGCTCACGTGCACGGCCGTGCGTCTCCCTGGTCTGCCCGTGCAGCTCCCCAAAAACCTCGCCATTCGCCCGTTCTTCGTCCAATCGACCCCAGACTCGCTCCTAAGCCTTCATTCACGTACTAGGACCTGAAATATCACAAACAAGCACAACCTAGCGTGAAATCGGCCTAAAACACGAGAATCAACACCTCAAACGGTGTAAGAACGAGGGTGAAAACATGTGTAAATGACGGTCTATCAAACTCCCCCACACTTAACCGTTTGCTTGTCCCCAAGCAAACCAAGTCAGACACTAGGTAAGCTTACATATTTCAATCAACCAACATTGGGGACAAGTCATAAAGGCACAGAACACGTGAATCGCACTGGTTTTCAAACATCAATACATGCACAACCTCAATAACAACCTGGACAACCACCACAAAGGACCTTCGAGTGCAGCAAATCGAGTAAAGGAAGAGTCTCCCTTCTGTTCACTGGCCAACCTAGACTTGATTCAACCACTTACTCAAAACAGTCAACTCATGCATCCAACTTAAGACATCAGAATAGAGACCGAGCAATCTAGGTCCTCACCGGGGTACAAGAGCATATAGAAAATGAAAATGAATCACTCACTCTCGACCAGTGGGGTCAGGACAATTTGATGCGAAAGATGCGCATGCTATTTCTCTCAATCCCTATCATCTCTTCACCATGATGGCAGCCTCTAAATGCTAGAGTTCACATATGGGGTGTCACCACTAACTAATCAGGAGGTCTTAGACACAGGTTCAAATGACTGGCTAGGGTCTTGGACATGGGGAAAAGGCCTTTTAGGTGGTGGAAGTATTCATAGCAAAAGGTTCCACATTTTCCAAACACACAATCACAGTCAAACAAACCGGTATTTTCTTTCTGCTATTCTGCATTACTCAATATCTCAAGAGCACAAGAGCGAAGGAGGCATAAACATCAGCATTTCCAAGCCAGACTGCTAAGAAACACTACTTACTGGGCATTATTCAGATTTTTGGTAGTGGCTCTCTTTTGCTTTCAATTTTTTTTTCTTTGTTTCACTTTCATTTTTCTTTTCATTTCCTAAGAGAGCCACCACTTCTGCATAAATTTCAAACATCTGCCCAACTTTTAAGCACTACCTCCAACACTCACATAGACTTTAGCAGAAACAGCAGAGAATATATAAAAACCACTCTGTGGAACCTTCTAAAAGATGCAACAAGGGTGATTTTTTTCCATTATAGACCAAAAGAAAGGATAATCGCAGTCCGGGAATGCAGTAACACGCAAGTTTAATTATCAACCCGGGGTCTAGATCTACTGCTTACTCCGTGATTCTCTATTATCTAGCAAACTAGTTCGAGTGATTGTTGTGAAAAGTAAAAGCAACAAGAAAGCAGTAAATTGCTCGGTTTTCTAAAGCAGGCAAGAGTCACTCGGGATTGAGTCCCCCTAGCCCCTTAGTTAGGTTCAATTGCAATTCCCTGGGTTGATTTACTGTTGATTAGACCGCGGAAGATCCGACAGTAGCTTGGAATCTCTTAAGCTGACCAAGCCCTCTCAGTCTAACTACCCGGCAGACGACTAGTCTTCACCGGGATAGAAAGCTGAGGCTATGAACACAGAACTCCACTACTGGCGCCAAGAACACCAGTACAAAGCAGTGAACTGGCTAACTCTCGTATAGCCAATCTCCTACTATCGAATGAAGAGGCTCTAACAACCTAATCAGATTCTATCTATCTCAGATTGCAGCAGAAATTGAGAAAAGCTGATCAGACTCAAATCAATTCATTAAACATGCGTCATTCGATTAAAATCAAACAGTAATATCATCCCAAGTCATTACAATCAAATCCCTAACACAAGGAACTAGGGTTCTTCATACCCAAGTGAGAGAAGGGTTCTACTCCATAGAGAGAGAAGAGAAAACAGTAATCGGATTAGTCATACTCATAACGATGAGGAAAATCTGCTCCGGGACGATGATTTCCACTCCTATGACGATCTCCAAGCTCGATTCGATGAAATCCAGCTCTAAGACAGCTTCTAGGGTGCGTTCTTCGTACTTTCTCTCTCTAGGGCTCTGTTTTTTGCTCTGAAAACACGATTCTCTCCTTTTTGGCTCGGATTAGGCTCTAAAACCAGGTTTCCCGACTCGCACGGCCAGGGTGCACGGCCGTGCATATCACCATTCTGGCCGTGCAACTCAAAACGCAGCGTGTCATTTAGTTCGGCCTCAGGCTTCTCGCACGGCTAGGGTGCACGGCCGTGCGATCTTCAGGGTCTGCCCGTGCATGGCCTCGGCATAAAGCGCACGGCCATATTGCTCACGTGCACGGCCGTGCGTCTCCCTGGTCTGCCCGTGCAGCTCCCCAAAAACCTCGCCATTCGCCCGTTCTTCGTCCAATCGACCCCAGACTCTCTCCTAAGCCTTCATTCACGTACTAGGACCTGAAATATCACAAACAAGCACAACCTAGCGTGAAATCAGCCTAAAACACGAGAATCAACACCTCAAACGGTGTAAGAACGAGGGTAAAAACATGTGTAAATGACGGTCTATCAGCTGCTCGTCTATATTTGTAGGATCGTCGAGGTTTTGATAATTAAGCTTCTCCTTCACGTAAACCAAATTGGGAGAACCTAAAAGTGTAAAAGCATAATTTTTGAAGTTTTGGTGACATAGAAGTGTAAAATTGTTATTTTTTAAGTTTTAAAGCGCGATTTACTACATTGAACTCATGTTAGTCTGAGTATAGTTTTCTTTCTTGTTCAAGGAACATGTTGATCCATTTGTCTAGCGTGGAGAAGATAATGAATTGTGAATGATCTTGTTACTTCCATCCATTATGTCAATCTCTTGCTTCAACATCAAATGTTGTGATAGTGATTAGGTGGTTTCCATTAGGGACCACTTGAATCTAGGTATGTTTTTATTTGTTTAGAGTAATAATCTTAGGATTTTCCCTATAAACCCTTGTGTAAAAGAGTCTCTTCAACCCACCACTGTTTTGCTGACAAACTTCTGATTTTTTTGGATGGGATTAACTTAGGTTTTAATGTATTCAAAAGGTGCATGATCAATGCTAAAGGCTCTGATCATCGAGGCTTTGATAAGCTTCTTCTCCATACAAACCAAATTGGGAGAGCCTTTCATCCACTCAGGTTAGTCTAAGTATAGTTTTCTTTCTTGTTCAAGAACCTGTTGATCGCTCTATCTTGTTGAGAAGATAAGGAATAGTGAATGATATCGTTTATTCCATCCATTATGTCAATTGTTTGCTTCCACATAAATGTTGGGCGGTGTCCATGTTAATGATGGTTTCCTTACTCTGGCTTCAAATCCTTCTTCGCATTGTGATCCTTCTAAGAGTGCATGTGCATGAAAATTTAGTGGTTTTGCTACCGAGATTGCCATGGGAAAATCAATTGTTTATATTGGATGTGTTTGCTTGCATTTACAGAGTTTCTTAGTTCATCTTCGAACAAGGATTTCCAGCGCCACCTAAGAGACATAAATCTACTCGTTCTTCAAAACTTCACATTGCTTCTTTCAATTCCATGTATGGCCACTGAGTGATATGATGCGTGTGTAGTTCTATGGTCATTGCTTTTGGCAGTGGTCTATCTATGGGGTTCAATTAGGCATTGGTAATGTGTCTATCCTTTGAGGAATATAACAACACGCACCATTGATGAATAACTACTTTTGTTGTCAAATTAAGATCTAGGTACCGATGCACCTTGACGGTTGATTGGACAGATCAAACGTGGTTAGGCCGAGCAGTGAACGGTAAAGTGATTCTACCTAGTCCCATTAGGGACCAACCGAATCTATGTATTTTTTTTGGATGAGATTAGCTTAGGTTTCATGTATTCAAAAGATACTTGTTTAATTCGAAAGGTTGTTTAGTCTTGGTTCTAGTCTAGGGAAATGTGGGATATTCTATGGGGTCTTCTTATTGATTTCTAGCGTCGGATGATAGATAGAGCTATAAGTTGGGGACTTTCATATGAGATATATTAATTGCTAGAAGCCCCAGTAAAAACTTGTAAGCCCCTTATTAACAAGATAACTTCTCAACGTCATGGTTATAAATGAGTTATGTTGGTAAACTTCTATTAGGGAGGAGGATAAGCAATGTATTGACTTCTTTTGGGATGTTCTTGTTTGAACTCTGTTGAAGCTATTATTGCTTTGCCTAATCTCACTTTTCCTAAGCCAGACGGTGGATTGGGGATTTTGGATATTGTCTTATGGAATATAGCATGTGTTGTTAGGCATGTATGGGTTGTTGTGGGTTTTCTAGGTCTGCGAATACATTCAAAACGTAAGGATTTCTAGTCCTAAGAGGGAATTTGGATCTTGAAACTGGCGGAAGCTTCTCCGTTAGGTCCAGAGGTATTTTTTTTGCCTCAGATGTAATAATGTTGCTGTGCCCAAATACTAGGTTTATTTTTTATAGGAGTTCTTGCGTACTCGTCGAGCAAAGGATATTTGATTTTCAACTATTTGGAAGGGGCTTGTTGTGCCTACAAATAAATTTCTTCTATGGTTGATTATCCAAAACAAAATTCAAACCGCTTGTATTGTGAACTTTGTTCTTAGTGTCCAACTAAGTTTCCAAGAGATTTGTAGTTATAGGATGGTTTAATCCTCTGGTAGCAACATTGTTTGGATTAAAGGCTACATTTTACCCCTAGTAGGAGAAAGCCTATTCACCAGTATATAATGTCTCTTTGTCACAAAGATTGTGCGTACACACTTTTGAGCCCCTAGAATAACATATGCGTGTGTCATTTGTTTGCAAAGATCATGCCTAACCCAAGACCAAAGGCTTAGAGAGGGGAGGATACCATGGAAGACCTGTGCATGAAGAGTGAAGAAGTAGAATAATTGGGCCATGTTCAACAAAAAGGAAAAGAAACAATTGGGCCAGTCCTTCAAATCAAATCCCGCCCAGCCCAGATACTCGTTCCAATCCAAGTAAGAAGCCCATCAGAATTTACTAACCACAACAATGTCTCGAATCGGAACCCGGAAACGAAACACTGAAAGTCTGAAACCGACCAACCCACCGCCTTGAACCACCGCCCCTCTGCTATTACCTCTCCTTCCCCTATCCTCAACGGCGGCGTTGGAACAGCCGAACAGCAATATCAGCATCGCCGCAGCACCTGAGCGAAAGACGGAACCACGATGGAAGCACCAAAAGGACAAAAATTTCAAACTACGGTTGGGAAAGAAGGCATGGAAAACATAACAGAGAGGCTCTCCTCTTTGGAGAACCTCTACTTCCCTCGCGCTCTACAGTCCGACGCCGCCGATCCTTCCCATCGGAAGTCTCTCCTGCACGACCTTCTCTCTCGCGATCCCGCTGTCTTCTTAGGTAATTCCTCTCTCCTCCTTTCTTACCGCTGTTATTTTGTTTCGATTGGATGCTGAACTTACAGATGTTCTCTCACTAGGATCAAGAAATTGAAAAATTTTAGGGTTAATTTTTCCTTTGCAAGATGGCCTTATGAGTTGCTTGTTTCTTCGTGATTTGAAGTTGGATTTTCCTACTGCCGAGGGCTGTGTTTTAACTGAATTCTTGTTGAATTAGAACGATATGGAGGACAATTGACTGTTGACGAGCTTCATGAGTTTGATCCGCTTGGCAATGACTACGAGATAAGCTGGCACTTAAAGAACCTCAAAAGCAAACTGAGTCCTACTGCTGAGGATTTGCGATCGAAGTCTGTGGCGGTGAAGAATCGGAGGCTTGCTTACCTGAATAAACTCATAGATGGTGGTAACTATTTCTCCGAGGATGCAATGAGGCACAGAGAGCCGTATTTACATCATGAGTTTGTCGGTAAGTTTCAGGATCAGACTGCTAGGAGCATGGCTAGGCCAGGGGAACGGTGGTCGGAGACATTGATTAGGAGGTCCGAGGAGGCAATATTGATTTCGAAGATTAGGGAGGAACAGCAGAGGTTAGGAGTCCCTGAGAGTGAATGGGTTGTCTATGGTGGAAACCAGCAGCAGGAAGAGGAGGAGGAGGAAGAAGATGATGATGATGAAGAGGTTGAAGGAGCAATGAAAACTCAAGTATGTTATTTACCTTGCTCTCTATTTGCTGATCGTTCAATTGATGTGGTAGATTGTTATTTACCCTACTCATTACATATTTATCTAGAGAAATACATTGATAATATGCTACAAATTTCCTTGGGTCTGTGTCATCTTTGGTCTGTGATCTTCATTTCCCTGAAATTTCTTGATGTTAAATGTTTTCTCATTCATGAGGCCACTGTCATATGATTCTATATGTTATTTTGACTTCTTTGGGGGGAAAATGCAGTTCTTAAACATTTGGCTTAAGCTGTGGTTGCTCCATTGTTCTGTTTAGGCATTGCATATCAGCTGAACTGGGAAAAGACTAGAACCTTTTTGTAAATGCGTCATGAATGTATGAATAGAATGTATGAATACCTGTCGTAGTTTGTGAGACTTAAATCCTGTTAGCATTTAGCCCTGAGGACCAGTGTTGTAGGTTATTGACACCAAACTGCCTTCGTTTAGTTTTGTTTAGCTATTTCAAGTATTAGTTTCCAAACCAGCCGACGGTGAACCCATTGAAGTTAAAATGGTCCATATTGTGTCAAGAACACTATATTGATGAATGTTGCATGCTGTAGCATGTTCTATGATATCCCAGTTTCGTTACTTACTATTTGCAGCAGTTCATGATAAGTGGTTTGATTACTTCATACTGAAGAACTGGTGGTTAAAATGTCTTCAATTGATGATTTCCCAATACATTAACCACCTGGTCAGGTTTTGATGAAATTGCTCTATCTTGGCCATTTTTCATCATGTGATACCTGCTGTTCCTGTCTTCAGAGTGTAGGAAGTGCTCCATCGGCTACTGAACAACCGGACAAGGATGAAAATTTGACAGCCGAGGAAATGGAAGACAGGATGGACCAATTCACCACTGTAATGCACCAGAAGTTCCTCTCCGGTGAAGACCATGAGCATTTAGATTACGAAAAAATCGACGATGATGAAACCTTGGATGATCATTGGCACCAGGAAGCAACCCGTGATGCAGAGGATAGGTACTTTGCTGACGTTGACTGAGACGATCCCAAGTTCCCAACATGTAAAAATACTTCAGTGCGTTTGGTGTGCTTGGTTCTCTAATGTAATGGAGGGCTCTTTGCCTCGCTACTCGCAGAGTTCTATAGATATACGAGACTGTACTGCGCTGCTTGTAAATTTGTTTTGCAGTTGGTTATCTAGGCCATTAGTCAAGTTGATGATCGGGCCATGGGGGTGTAGGAATGAGCAGAGCAGTCATATTGATTTAGTGGTCTTTTTTCCCCGGGATTATGAGAGTAGGACGTTTCTCAGAGTTCTGGTATCTTCTTCCTTTGATCTGGCTTCGATAAACAAGATGCTGATCATATGAAGAAGCGGAATATTAAACTGGCGTTGGTGATTGGGCTTTTCAGATTTGAGGTGCAAGCACTGGGCATTCGACTTTTATGGCTATAGGCTTTTAGCCCTTTATTTTCGAGTGATATCAAGAGAGTACAAAAGTCATACGAACAAAACTATCTTAAGTCCATGTCCGTCATGCCTAAAAAACCAGTTTTTCTCTAAATTCCTACGATCATCTCATTAGTTGGGGGTCTCTCTCCAAAAAACCCCCCAGTGAAACAGGGCACAGTAACTTTACCTTTTCAAATTTACTCTCCCTTCTCTCTAGAAAGCCTCCTTTTCCAGCCTTCAATGGCTGCCGCCGGCTACTTCAGGTGACCGGCGGCAGCCCAAGTTTCTCTTTTTTTATCGCTTTTTTTGCTTGCTTGCTTTCGATCTTCTGGCCTTTGCTTCTAGGCTTTTCACCTTCAAGATTTCAGTCTCTCCAGCCATTTTGGCATTCCAGATCTAGGATTTTGCAGATTCAAGGCTTGCTCGTTTGAGGATCTGGAGGTTGCAGCTTGGGAAGCTTGACCTTTGCTTTGTGATGGTTGTTCTTTCCAGGTTGGTGGTCTCATCTGCAAGGTGAAGCCATTCTCATCTTCCCCCCTCTGGCTTCCCCAAGGTGGTGTTGTTGCTTGGATGGTTGTCGGATCGTGAAGAGGTGAGTCATCTCCGGCTGCTGCGGTGGAAGTCGGTTCTTTTGGGGTGGTCTGTGGATCTACTTGGAAGCTTGCTCCCCTTTGAACCGATCCTCTCTACCTTGGCCCCCTCTGCCTTCACAGCTTGGAGCATTCTGTTTCACAGCCTCTTCCACCGTCGGGCAATCTCTTTGAGATTCACTGTGATGGATGACTTTGTGCACTCCCCAGGAGACGGCAAATGGCTTGCTATGTCCAATGCCATGGATCTCGCTGTGATCGGACAAGCTGTTATGATCTTCTTGCTCTTTGTTTGGTTGGAAGAAAGAGGGATTATAAATGCTCTGCCTTTGTCTCAAGAACTTGGTTGTTTGTTTTGAGTGATGTCATTCTGTGTTGTGCTTCCACTGGTTGTATTTTCTTAGCATGGTTTGGTATCCTCCTGTGTTCCATTGTTTCCTTGATCTTGTGTTGAAGTCAAGTTTTTATTTTCTCTTTGTAACCAATTATTCAAAGTGCAATAAATATCCCTTTGTCAAAAAAAAATCTCATTAGTTGGGTTATTCCAACCAAAAAGCTAACCCGTCGGGGCTAAAAGTAGAAATTGTAAAATCCCATTACTTTCTCCTATCAAAATATGGTTGGTTTCGGATTTAGACTCCCCTGATTTATAGACAACATGGGACTTTCTTTCCCTCCTTTCTTTTATGATGTTTCTACCACTCCAGCACTCACCATGCCATGCAAATGGCTAGTGGAAACATACATACAAAATAATGACCCATATTTTGTGAGTTAAATACGTAAGCCAAGTTATAAGGTTGTTTGTTTTGGTGTGTATCTCACGACTTCTCATGAGGTCATTAATCATTGCACTACGTACTTCACATTAAGCATGTCCAACATCAAAATTATTACAAGAATTCATCTATTTCATCCTAAAACACATCTTATCAGTTAAGATCGTTTTTTTTTTCTTACCATATAAATTCTACATCTGATCTAACCATTTAAAAGTCTCCAAAATTTCAACATGAAACATGATTAAAAGAAAAGCACTGCACACGAAATTTTCAATCTATGAAACTCTGGCGACAATAGTTGTTGGTACGTTCATACATATACAACATATTTGGCATCGCTTCAAAGTCAACTTAAAATAAAATAAAACAAATTCTACTAAAAAAACAAACAAATAATTGATAGGGGAAATTATTTTCTTTCTTTTATCCTTTCTTTCCGGGCGGTGACTTGCTGGGCTTAGGCTGAAAAGCCGGTGGTGGCGGAGTCGGTGGTCTCATATACGGCGGCGGAGGAGAGTATACTCCGCGCGGTGGCGGCGGCCACAGAGAGGATGAGCAGGGCGGAGGCGGTGGCAGAGATGATTCTCTGAGCGGAGGCGGCGGCGGCGGAGATCTACGAACTAAGAAAACGATACGGACACCCCACGTAACATGATAAGTGTTTGCCGGATCGGAAAACAATAAGTTTATCAAATCCAAGTAGAGTCTGTTTCCGTATTATGATCTGTAGCCTAGCTAGGCCGGGGATGAATATATATCTTAGTATTAGGTTACTTACCTCTAGTTTTGAGAAGGCGACGAGCCTCTGTTGATTGCGGCGGCGCCAGACACAGAAGAAACACGACGAGAAGCATCGTTTGCAGGGCTACTCCCGCCATTGCTTTCTTGCTCCGGCTAGCTCCCATCTCTCTCTCTCTCTCTTTTGGTTGATAAATTAGCTAAGAATGGGCAATCGAGAAGGCTATTTATTTATGTTTCCCATAATACACGTACATGTGGGCATTTGTTTAATGACATGAGTTGTTAATGTTCTCACTACCTCGTTGAAAGTTGGCTGATGCGTGTATATATACGACTTCTGTATGTAGTTATTTATTAGTCGAACCCATGGGCGGAGCCAGGGCAGTTTGCGCTTCTCCCAGGGCCCAGGGGGAAGGTAATTTTTGGGAGGAAGGGCTGTCAATTCGGTTTTCGGTTAGCGGTTAACCGTCCGGTTTAACCGTTAACCGCCGGTTAACGGCTAACCGGAAATCGAAATTTATGTTCAGTGGTCGGTTGGCGGAAACGTAACAGGGTCAGGCGGTTAGCCGAGTAATCGAAGTCGGTTAACCGGCTAATCGACGCTAACCGACCGACGATACAAGTAGAACAGCAGCGGTCGTCCTTGGTCATGCCGAACTCGTGGAGGATCCACTTCTCGCTCTCGTTCGAGAAATTAGGGTTAGGGTTTCTGTAATTGAACCTCTTCCGCGTCCCAATCCACCTCTCGTCCTTCTCCAGCGGCGACCGTGCCCGGCGGATGAGACTGAACTCCGTTCCTTTGTCCTCCCGGTGCCAGCTCCCGCCGCTCTTCCCGACCTTCCGGTCGCATCTTGTGCCCTTGCCGCCACCGGACTTCACCTTCTTCTTCAGATTGGTGAAGACGTAAACGTCGCCGGGCTGCTCGCCGGACTGGAGGAGCTTCCAGATCTCCCACGGCTCGTCGTCGTCGTACAGGTTGTGGTGGCGGACCACCGAGTAGTGATTGGACGGCAATGTGCGGCGGATGTGGTTGTAGAGGTAGTACCCAAGCAACTCGCCGTCCGTAGGGAAGAACTTTCCGCCCGGAGGCAACTGTGCCGCTACATTGCTCGCCGCCGCCGCCATCGACGACGGTCCACCAGTATGCCAAATCGAAACCACCGACATTGTTGTACTATATCTAGCGCCGATTTCCTCTTGTGTTTCTTGCTCTTTTCTTGATTTCCTGTCCGGTACTGGAATCTGGAAGAGAGACGGTCGGTTTGTGTAGGTCGACCGGTCGGTTTTTGGCGGTCTTCGGTCGGTCAGGACAGTAGACCGAACCGACCCTCCCTTTTTCGGTGCTGCCGGTTTAACCGTGCATTAACCAAAACCGCCCTGTCGGTTTACGGATAACCGAGGCGTCAGGGTCGGTCGGTGGCCGGTAGTAACTGGTCAGGTCTCGGTTTAATCGAAAACTGAGAATTCGATTTTTTGGTTAAACCGAAACCGACCGGTTGACAGCCCTACCAACATCTACCAGTAACATAAAGCATATTTTGACACTATTATGATAATTCATTTCTTGTTTATTAATTAATAAAAAAATAATTTATTGTTTCCATTCATGGTATTATTATTGGACAACAACTTGTTGGATATAAGCATGATGTTATGACTATTGAGAGATTTGTTGGTTTCGCCAACGACTCAATTAAACCCACATGCATTACAATAATATTATTAATTTTACTTATCTTTATTTAATTTTTATAATTTTTTAAAAAAGAATAGGAGTAACTTCAAATCCTACTACTATTACTATGCATTGATCAATAATATAGTTTATCAACTCGCTTTCGATTAATCGGTTAAAGAACCCATGTTTAAAAGTTACAACTTGGCCTCGGTTGTCGGTTTACGTTGTAATTGGATTACGAAGAGTTGACACTCTTCCGTGTTTCCCGGACTGTCAGAAAAATCCGAGTGTTTCTCATTTGGATTTGGCCAATTTGGCAAGTGGCACTACAGAGCGCATAATTATGTAAATGTTTAATCATTTCCATGGCCGTAAAATTAGTTAGTCATTACTATAACTCGAATGTAAAGTAAACTCATGCAAGTGATACCTTGTTTTGTTAAACGGTTTGTTTGGATGCTGATTACCTACCTAGGGTGCATAATTCTTGGCAATGTTCTCCCTTAGTTTGAAGTGCACAATTAATCTGATATATCTGTACAAAAAAAATTAAAATTAAAATCCGACATAAAACGAGAAAGAAATCGTCCGGTAAAAGTTTGAGGAAAAATATTAAAAACTTTCAATAAGAGATAAAACTGCTGATGCGACGAATTAAAATTGAAGTATGCATAATCATACACTACAAGGTTACTGATGGAATTCGTTCTCGTATCGTACCTCACTAGCTAGGCTAATGAATATACTACTACGTAAGTACTGAATAGACATGGGGTCAACGCGGCAACACGTAGTTAACTACTTGTTCTTCGACGCAAATTCGTAGCCCAAAAAGAAAATAACAAAGTAACAAATGCACTAAATGCCAACTTGGCAGAGTTGTTGGCTGCGCTCTCTCTTTCTGCTAGCTAGTAGCTACTAGCCTACTACCCTTTGATTCTCACAAATTAAGTCAACTTAATTGGCTTGATAATTGAAATGATAAATTTCGCTTTACATAAATTTGTAGCTAATTTTTTTTAATTGAATATAATTTTGGATAAATATTAATTATTAGTCAAACCTTTTTCGTATTTTTTCAGGATAAATACAATATAATAGTCAAACCTTTCATTTTAAACAAAATAATAGTCAAACCTTTTGAAAAACAAAAAATAATAGACAAACCGTTAACTTTTCATCCAATTTACCTTTTAATTTTCAATTTTTTAAAAAGCAATAAATAGTGAAGTTCAAATAATAAATAATAAATTCCACCATGGCAATGTTAGAGGATTGACACCTTGCCACATCATTAGAATCCTTTCATTTCAGCAATTAAATTGCCACGTCATAATCAATTAACGGTCAATTGGATGGAAAGTTAACGGTTTTGCTATTGTTTTGTTTTTTAAAAGGTTTGGCTATTATTTTGTTTAAAATGAAAGGTTTGGCTATTATATTGTATTTACCTTTTTTTTATTAACCAAACTTATTGAATATTACTAATAATTAGCCAACTTTTTTTGTAATGTATCAGCATATTAGCCACTTTTTGTTGCCATTAATAATTTTGTAACTTTTTTCTTAGTTAAAATACTAAAGTTATGGAATGTTGACCTTCATGTGTCCCTTCAAATAAATATCATTTTGTCAAGTCAATATTACTAACAAAATTGCTAACAGGAAGTTAACATTTGTTAATTATTATTAATTCAATAGGTTTAAAACATAAAAAAGAATGTTGAAAATATTTGGTTAATAATTAGTACTTACTCTATAATTTATTACTAAATCTTTCAATTTTGAAAAAAATTAATCAATATCTTTTGAAATATAGAATAATCATCAACTGTTGAGTCTCTGTTAATACATTCATTAGTTATGACAAATGCGTGGCTGAGTTGGAGAAGATTTGACATCAAATCAACCATCCTTTAGCTCCCTTCCCTTACAACTTATTAGCAATAGTTTTCAATTTTGACATACTTGTTACTTAAGGCTGAGCTGGAAAATGTGGTGCATAAGCTTGCTGAAACCAACCAACACATTTAGGTAAAGCATAGTGAAGAATAAATCATATTTCCGAACAAGTCTTATCCCCTCCTTAGCAAACCATAGCACTCTCATATATAGAGCTCTTTGTTGAGATCATATGTCACTATCAAAATGACTCGATTAATAACCATCTTAAATAATGGAAGACCTTGCTAGATCTTCTGCCATTTTATGGCTTTAAGTTAGAAAAATTTGTCAAAGAGGGTAAGGCACATTTCACGAATTTATGTAACCTTCCTGGTCTTGATTGTGTTAATTATATTTATTAGAGTACCAACTTGTAAATATGCTCAGCTGCATATGCGGCTAGGGTTGAGATCAGCAACCTATATATACTCGTGTAAACATGTAAAAGAGTATCAAGCAATAAGAAGCCTAAAACCTGTGAGGGAGATCCTCACCGTGGACTAGTGTCACATTGACGAAACCACGTTAAAAAACCTCGGTGTTCTTTACAGTTTTGACATGGTATCAGAGCCTGCGATCTGAGATCTTGTGCTCGTTCTTCACCGCTTGTGGTTGCCGTGTCTGATTGTTCTTCGGCGGCTGGATCAGATTGGTTCTAGGGATTTGTTTTGTTCTTCGGCGCACCTGTTGCTTTCTTTGGTTGCTGTGGGTGTTGTCTTGGTTTATTCTTTGCCCTAGCTCTCTTTATTTTTGGCCTTTCTCTTTGGTTTCTTCTGTGCGTTGGCTGTTTTGGACAAATGGACACAGGGAAGAATGATGCGGTTACCGCAAAGCTGGACGGGAAGAATTTCCCTTTCTGGGAGTTCCAATTTCGGAGCTTTGTTGCAGGCAAAAGGTTGCTTCCGATGCTTACCGGTAAAGTTCCTCAACCGGCTGATACTGCCTCTGATCAGGTGAAGGCAGACTGGGATGCAAGCAATGCTCAGTTAATTTCTTGACTGCTAGGGGCGATCGACATGGGCACTGGACTCAGCCTTCGTCGATTCAACTTAGCTAGCGAGATGTGGGCACACCTCTGCGCTGTTCACTCTCAAAACAATGCTTCCCGTCAATTTGAACTTGAAACTGAGCTCGCTTTGTATACCCAGGGGGATCGTGATGTTCGCACTTATTACCAGGGCTTTGTTACGCGCTGGACCGAACAAGATATGCTGGTTGCTTCTGTGAATGAGGTTCCGGTCACGGCTGCTACTATTCGGGATCGAGATCGATCTCGACTTATGCAATTCCTTATGAAGCTTCGTCCTGAATTTGAGGCTATCCGGGCATCTATTCTACATCGTAATGTCGCCTCTATTGATGATGCCCTCGGAGAGCTCTTTCGCGAAGAGACTCGGCTTCGCAGTCTCTCCAAACTGGAGGGTCAGCCTGATTCTGCCTTTGCTGTGGGCCGTGCTGGAGGATCTCGGCCTCAATTTCAACGTGGCAACACTAGCCATTTGACGTGTCATTTCTGCCATGAGCTTGGGCACATTCAACCACATTGT